TCTCCTCCCCCCTCCCTCTCTCTCTCTACCGGAATTATCTTATTTTCAATTAACTTCTTTTGCTGTCCGATTGCCATCGGCTGGCAGTCGGTATGCTGGGGAAAAAGCGACGCAGCTGGAACAATATGGAATAAACCGTTGTTGGATGTTTACTTGCAGCTGGTCCGAGGTTAATCTTGCCGATTACAAACAAGAAAAAACGGGGCCAAGTAAAAAGTATATCTACTCCATTAATGCTGCTCCACTTACTTATTTTCTACTTACGTGTTAATGTAATATCTTATAATCGTAAATGAAAAATATTTAATTTATGACGAATTATATTTGGCCATCTAAATTATCGAACTTCAAACTAATGTGCTTAACGTTCCGTTCAAAATTTGATTCTCCAGAAGGAATGTTTTAGTAATGACAAAGCCAAAATTTGCAATGTCGTAATATAGACAATATAATATTTATGAGAGAACGTGATGCGGCGTAACTCTCTGGTAGTTTATCACTCAAGTTGAACTTCTGAAGCGATCCTAATAATGCTTGGATCGTGGCCTAGCGAGTTTATTAGTTTTCACTGAAAATACAAAAACAGACCATTATATAATAACAGTTACCTTATTGGCTGATAAAATTGCGTAAATAATAAGAGATTAGACAAGATTGCAACAGAAAATTTTATATAAAAAATTACTATGATAATGCAGCAACCGCGGATCATAAGAGGAATCATAAGTTTAAATACTATGGTCATTATGTGAAAAACATAGTAAAAATTTTTATAATTCCTTCACGGTCCGCGGCTACTGCCGTGTACATAGTAATTGATGTAAAATTTTCTCCGTGAAGCAAAGCCGCCGTTACTTTATGAAATAGGACGATTTACAATACTAAAGAACAGCTTTTATGTAATCGTGATATATTAAAGTGGAATAAAAGTGGGTGAATCAAACCAGATATCTGTCTATTTTCAGGAAAGATAGGAAAACCCGATATCCCACGTTTGAAATGATAATAATACTACAATTGTCCCATTTTCAGCGATGAGTATATGTACTCTCATTGTCCATAAGTGCAAATTAATTGTTTCATAAATGGCCCCTGCAGCAATGTAATACCGTATAAGAGGAATTATGTCAATAGGAGGATATAATGATGGTTGGTTTATTGATATTAGCCTTCTTGCTCATTCTCTTTCGCTCTAGCGTCATTTAGTTTACTACATCTCTAAATGATCATTAAAATATATTCGCGGCAATTTTTAAACTCTGATTTAAAATTGATTTTTTAGCGAAAATATTAATGCACTTTTCAAGTTAGGAACAATTAAAATAGAACAGTTTTTTGCGAATTCTAAGTTTTAGAGAGAAAGATAGATAAGTTTTTCAGTAAATTTTAAATAGCCTTTACATTGAAAGAATTTTACTTTAATATATTTTATTATTAAAATTACAATCTTGGATTGTGGAACATTTTTCATTTAATCATTTTTTAAAATTATTTTTGCAACAAGCGTAGAGCTAATGTCGGACATAAGCTTTTAATAGGCAAGAGCAATGTAATTATCAGCATGCAGAACATTAGGTATCGCTTACGTTCTCACTCGGTTTGAAAGTTTTAGCAAGACAGCTACTGTCTTAGGTCCATCGCGACTAAACGTGACCTAGTTCGCCCGGTGCCTTGCGATACGTGAAACATTAATGAGTCTGAAACTCACGGCCTCGGCCGGATACTTTAATTAACGTAATACGCCTATTAACGCCGGAAAATCGGCGTGGCGGTTGCGAAACTTCTTGTCTATGAGAAAATCATAACAGTCTCTAATCTGTCGCTTGGGATTATCAGTCGTAATACTTGCGTCTAATTTTTGTTGTGTGAATCCAATGCTTTATATATGTAATTATTATTTAGTTTAGACATCTTTGATCGAGCATGAATCAGATGTCGATGTTAGCGAACATAATTGTTATCGTTTATTTCTTTGTTCAATTCACAGAACTATAAAAGTTTTGCGACGATTTAAGCAAGGTGAACTCAGTTTTCTCAAAGTGACATTTATGGCGGCGGTAAAAATGAGCTTCACGGTTGTTTCAGTCGCCCCGCGGAAATCATTTGAAATTATAGTCCACCCGATAAAGCTCACACCGTGAGTTCTCGGCTGTTTTTATTTTCTCACGAGCGCGGCTTATATAAGCGACGTGCGTGTAGCTGAATATATGGTTCATTTGTACACTTCGATTCACAATTACATGGAGCGTAGTGCGCTAATTTTCACGGTAAAACTTGAGTACATTCATCAATGGATGAAATATGGCAGTGATTACACCATCTTGCGCTAACATATAAAAAATGAAGTCAACTAATAAGGGAGTGGCAGATTATGTATTGTGTAAATACAGTAAATAAATATAAATATAAATAAAATATAATATTTGAAATAATGTTATATTAACAAATTTTGATTGGGTTTAAATTTGCGTATTTACAATATAAACATATTTAAATTCTCTCATCTGCAATATTGGTCAGAGTTTGTTAAATACATAACAATTCAAATATAACATAGTAATTTCTATTAGATAAACAATAATTCCATTAAATATAAAGCGTTCTCTTATGTTACCTTGTTTAGGAAGTGTGGTTATATATCATAATATTGATTATATAATCTTTATTTATCTGACAATTTTTTTGCTTAACTCTTCACATTAATTTTATTTTACTAGCATTTTAGCTTGAAAATTAATCCGAAGCTGACTAAAAAAAGAGAAAAATAGTGAATGTAGGGAATAAGCAAATTTTTATTGTGAAGAGATCATCTTACACAATATTGTTAAATCCTTACTTAAGCAATAGCTTTGGGATATGTATACGCGTTGAGAAGTTGCAAAAGTTTAAACAGGAAGCTTTTAAGCTGGAAATGTACATGCATACATTAGTACACTGCACAGTTCAATTTGGATAAACCTTTAACTGTGTCATTCCTGTTACATGTATACACTTTCTACCTATCATCTGCCCTTTCGTGTTCGCCATATTTGATTCTCTTTACGTTTGACCTATTGAATCCGAGCAAAGCGGTATTTTCATCAGAACTTTAGCAAATAATTGTTTACGTGTCTGCATCCAATCAGATGTTCGTTTCACGTGGGTGCAGTAGAATGTCTGCACGTTTTATTTAAGTTATCAGATATGAGTTGTTAAATGACAGTAAAGTAATTGCAGAGAACAGAACGCGAAAAGAGAGATTTAACATTGTATTCAACAAATTTTCATATTTAATATTTTTTTAAATATTAGTTTTTATTAAATAGTCCTTTCATACGCTAACGTTAAACAATAAAATAATATGGCATCGTGTATATACGATAATAAATCGCTGTGGATTTTAATTTCAATATTTTATATTCCATTGCTATATATATATATTTATTTAAAATATTTATCTATTCTATATTTATTTGATTTATTTTATTACAACATTTTTACTATTTACAGAAGAGAATACAAATTTTTCTTGATTCAGTCTTTTTTCGTACGGAATAGATCGAACAGTTTTTTAACCATTACTTTTGATGATATCTTTTCTTTAATTTAAATCCTTTATTTTTATTTAACTGATAAGAGAAATCACAATTTGTAGCGAAAAAAGTCATAAGATTTAAAAGGACATTAATGAAATTTTCTGAATATCTTATATCAGAACACAGTTAAGTATTTATAGTGTATTCATAAAAGAGAAATTTTGGGAATTTGAGATATGTTTAAGATATTCTTGATGATTTTAATATTTTCGAAGTATCAATTAAACGCGCAATTAAGTTGAGTTTTGGTTCTACGCATTCGTTTATTTCACCTTCGTTTATTTCACCTTCGTTCTTCCAAGCGCATTCGTGAAATTTTACGTAAAAGAAAGCCGATAACGCCAACATTATAGCATAATGTATTGCATACTGCCGATAGATAAGAAATGAAATATGTAACTCGTATATCTACATGCATATACATATATGCGTATATGTAGGATTTAGCAACGATGATTACACAGTTTGACCTATATATCATCAGACCGGGCTCTTTTGCTGTATAAATTTGCAAATTACGCATATATTGTCTTTTGTATATTGTCGTAAAGATTGCATGCGTGGCACCTGTTGCAAACAAAACGTTGTCTTATTACGTGTGTTTTGCTTTTTATAAAATATTCATATAATTACAACAATGGAATTCAGTGCACAATTTCTAAGTTAATTAAACACTTTACACTATGCTGTAACATTTATGAATACTTCAAGACACTTATCAGCTAAACAAATTATGCAAATAAAATTTGCAGTGCACGATTGCGCATAAAAAATCTCGTAAATCTAGAGAAAACATTTTTCACGGTTAAATATTCATCAATCATATTTCAGCTAATAAAAATAATTTTTATTCAATTCTTAACAAAAAGATTTTTTTCTTTAAATTTAGAATTAAGTTCTAGATTCCAACTGAGCGTAGAACTTCGAATTTAAATTATATGATAAACAAAGGAAGTCGTTAATTGGTGTGTAAATACTGAAGATCTACAGATTAATAGGTTCCTAAAGTTTAGCACTGATCAGACGGATCCGGATGTTTTCGAAAATGTGGACGTGAGCGGATTAATATCAAAGATAAATCCAAGTTTGCGTGCTTCGAATTTGCTGCAAATTAGAAGGCTCGAACTCCTGATTAGTGAACGATTAGGTTACAAGACGTATCTTGGTATGGACTTTGATAATACGGTATAGACACCGCGTGGCAGAGCTCTAATCATCTCAATCTTAATAGGTCGAACGATAAGCTAATGTTCAAGGTATGCTCGGTTAACAGCCGATCATAATGAACTTGACCAATGACACAGCTCACTATGACCTCATATCATTCAAGTGTCGTGCTGTCACATGAATCCTGTAGAGAATCTTTGTAATCTATGCATTTGAGAGAGAACAAAGATGTTTCTGATTTTAATATCTATAAGAAAGATAAATCATGTCAAACAGAAATGTTATTTTATCAAATTTACTTTACTTAGTGTCGAATGTTTATTATATATGCAATCCATGAGTGTTGTAAAGCGATTGATGCCGATCGCTGAATTATCTCAATGAGATAAATGGTGGATAAATAGATAAAAATAATGAAAAATAACATATGTCCGAAGGTTACAATAATAAAGCGGTATCAACTTTTCTCTTGGCATCTATAGCATTTGTGGTTTGCAGTTGTGTTATGTGAGAGATCTTTCTGTATAAGATGAAATAAGATGAATAATAATACATTTGAAGATACGTCCAGAGCTCATAAGGGCAGTTTGGAAAATTTGAGTGAACATGAATTCGTAAAGCTATTTATGGACTTATTCGATTCGAAATGCTCTCCGAACGACTTCGATACTTGGACTGTGTCGAAGCAATACAATTGAATAAATCAGAATATTGCAAAATTCTTTCCAAATGTGCCGCAATTCTTACTGAGTTTCATCCCGGCTTCCTTCTGTCAATTAAAATGTGATCGATCTCCGGAGAAGTTACTCGAATGGATAGATGTGGATAAATATCGTAGAGGACAAAAATTTGCGCAGAAACATTATACCGCGATTATCATCTCTAAAATAATAGGCCTTATTTATGTCTACTCATTTGACAATAGCATAAAACCGTTTATTATAGGGGGACGTCATACGCCGCATTCAGCATTAAAAAAGTACGGTTTTAAAATTATTATTATTATTATTTAAATATTTAGTCATAAAATATTGATAAAAATTCAGCATTTCAAACTGGAAACATTTGAACGTAGTAAAAGATCTTTAATTAAACAATTATTAAGCAATGTTTTTGCACCTAATTAATTTTCAAAACTTTATTTGTTATAATAAAAAACGTTTAATTAAAAATTAAAAGTGATTTTTAAAGGCTCTTTATTAAATAAAATTAAACAACCAATATACAAAGCTATCAAAGAGCCGAGCAAGGACTTTGTGCTTATTTACAAAAATGTAAGCCAAAAGACAAACGTTTAGTCTATTTTCATACAATATAAATTACTGATCGATTCTTTCTTAATTGTATTTAATAATTTTAAAGGCTTATGCTCTCGTTATAAAAGGAATATCGAGCTGGTATAATAGAGAGCCGTGGTTTAAAGGAATAGAAGCCTATGAAACCATGCGAACAAAACCTGCGAACGAAACCTGCGAACGAAACCATGCGAACAAAACCTGCGTCACACGCAGAATGCATTTGATGATGAGAATAAAGTTGTGTCGGTTGGATACAAACAAATCGATGTCGCATCGAAAATCGTTGTGTACATATCGCAAACTATTTTTGAAAGATTTCGCTGCAGTTTGTTTATTTGAGAAACATGGGCAGCGTCCTTATATTATGATTAATAGATCGCCGTACAGACCGAAAAGCATAAATAACGCGGACATGTCAGCTGCTCAAAGCTGCGTTCTTCTCTTCTTGCTCTGTCCACAAAACATTGGAATACACGACGCGACTGACAAAGACCTAGATGCCTTTTGTTACATGTGGAGATATTACGGATATTTTCTCGGACTGGAAGATGAGTATGTCACACTATTAAAAGCATTTGTATACGATGTTTTTAAATATGTATAAATTACATATACATTCTCGAATTCCAAATAAAATATTACATCACGTAATTTATCAGGCACAACTTCTGCCGCGGAAATCTCGAGGAAATAAAACAACGATTGCGAGATTTTTACCAATATTGGATAATGTTTAACTTCAAGGATATTTCGTGCCAATGGAAGCACTTGACGAGGTGTCTCATTGAGCCTCTAAATTACTGTCCTTTGATACGCATTCCCTACAAGGTGATAGTATTAATCGCTACAGATGCATTTAATTTAAACATGTCGCATTTATATGCATCACTCAGTTACACAGAATGGATTATTTATAAAATATATAAGTGAGTAATACTTATTATAGCAGTTGATATTTATTTACTTTTATATTACTTACATTTTTCTATCATTTTTATAATTTTAGATTTGTATTATGTCATGCTTTGAAATTCTCAAGCATGAGAGCTATTTTTAACAAAGTGACACGCAAAATACTTAATAAAGTAATGATCTTTAGTCGGGAAAAGCTAAGAGAAGAGTCTCAACAAAAATTGTGAAAAAACATGCATGCGCGTGTGTGCATGAAGGGAGGCTATTGTACATTATAGTCGATAAATTATAATGATTACATTGTTATAATTATAGAAATATTTGTATATAATAATAATCTCGAAGATTCTATATTTTATATGTAAAGTTCTCGATTAGTTGGTACATATATGAGTGAGATAGAAATTTTTCGGTCTGCCGAAAGTTGTGGGCACGAAAAAGTTGTTGTATGCTCACGATATAAATTTCTTTGTTAAAGTTATATTCGAAAGTCTGTTCGTGGCGCCAATAAATCAGAGCGCTCGGGCATACTGAAAAGTTAACCACAATAAAAGTGCTTCACACGGAAAGGCACTTACGATGAGATATTTAATCATAGCGGGCCGAGAAACCGTAACGTAACGTAATACCTGGTTGCATCGTGCCGCATTGCAGTAGAAAAAAAATGGGTTAGTTTCGATGTCGAGTGGGGTATATGGTATCTGCTACTCGAGAGGATAGAGCTCGCCTGCGAACTATCAATCCCACGGTATTACATCATCCCGACGGGAAAATGATTATACCGTCAAATGAAGTTACATGACTTCACGCTATGGAAAACGTCGTTGTCGATACGATGCAGGCTTCATTACGATCACCTGTTAACGAAGCGTCCTTCGCCGACGTTGTCCCGTGGGCATGGCCTTATCTTCGAACTCGCATTAAGGCCAGAATTCATGTTAAACTGATTAGGCCTTTGAGACCTTTAACGATGTGCATAGGCGGGCTTATAAATATTGTTTTGTCAGAAATTGCAAATATCTTTTGTTTATGATTAATAGAGAGAAATTACAGGTCACTCTATAAAACATAGTTGCATCTTATTTGCATAGATTTATCTTTCCGTCTAATTGACGTTATTGGACTGCTTATAATTGATAATTATTTTCAAATGCTTGATGGACAAAATATGAGAAATATTTAAGTTACTTGAAGCACGTAAATGCACGAAATGCGCATCAAATAGGCACGTAGGCGTATAAATACTTGTTGGCGCATACGGGTATTCACATTCGTGGAAGTTGACTAAGTTTCGCGGGAAATTGCGCGGCAATTTATAGCGACACGGTTTAATAACTGACCCTGTTGGCGACAATGTTTAAACCTCGTCGCCGCCTCCCTGAATCCGTGTCACGACATCTCTGATCGCGTGGCGCTTATTTTCCGATTTCATTTCCGTGCTTATAAATCTCACCAGTTAAGCTTGTTCGTGTGAAGTGCGCGTGATAATTGTTGATCAAAAATTATTAATTCTTTTTATTCCGATTTTTTAGCTTAACAAAAAATTTATTCCACCGAAATATTAGATTACCGGAATATTTGTTAATAGGTATTGACTAATTTACATATATATATATTTCGTGTGACAACTGTTATTCTTGGATATTCATAAATCAGCATTGTATAACTCGGCTATGTTCCTATTTAACGAGCGCCACTTTACCTTGTTAAGTAAATATATGCGCGCTACGATCACAGACGGGGACCACTTGAGTTTCTCCCGCGGGTGCATTGCTCGCTACTTACTAAAAATTTTCAGAAGCTGTTACGTACGTAACAGCATTTACATTTTTAACGCGGTATGCTTAAATAGAATAGAGTTAATACACCGTTCGCGCAACAACAAAATAAAAAGAGTGGGAGGTCGAGGAAGACTCGCTTTAACGCGGAAAAACTTGAAATTTTACCTACCAAAGTTTCAGTAGCTTATAATTATGCCAGCGCCGGTGCCGTGACTGAAAGAGTATCGCCAAATTCCCTTCGTGAAAACGAGTCTTCCAATCTCCGTCCAGTTTAAGAAAGTTCTGCTGTAGCTCCGGGCGGACACCTCACACGATTATCCCTTTGAGCCAACTTCGACCGAAGCAGAACCGTTTAATCAAGTTGACAACTTTCGTAATCACGCCCGTAATATGGCCGAGTCATGTACAGAATCAAGTTAGACTCCACTATTGAATAAGGATGCCGCGAAGTAAGCGAAAAAAAGACTTCTCGTAATTAAAATTTTTAGAAGCATCACGATAAGTTTGTCCGAAAGTTGTCGCAACGGCATAATTAAATATTAAGGTTTCTAACTTCTCAGTGCAGCCATATTGCATTACGAGAGGAAAAATAAAAAATAATTGGCGCATACAAAATAATTATTTTGGTTTCGCACTTTTATGTCATTAAATATAGCCACAGGGAAGGACTTTTGAATAGGAATTTAAACAAAATTTGATTTCTAAACGTCTCGTAAAGTTTACAATAAGAAACAATGCGCTAATTAACATGCGTTAATTGGTATAAAGTAACAAACGCGGTTCATCCTGTTTACTTCTCAAATATATATTGATCGTCTGATCTCATAATCTTTAATATCGCGAATCGAAGATTTCGCGTTCAATAGAAATGCAGCGGCAGATCCACGATGGAATGAATATTCGATGAACTCTCAGTGAAATAATGGAGGTCGATTTGTTCCCAGAACTTTCCGCCGCTTTCCGCGACGCTAATCATATTGATTGTACGCGGTAAATAAATCAGGAGTCATCAAGGAATATTCCGATATGTGAA